TTAATGGAACGAAGTTTAATGCCTTTGAGATTTTCCTGTCCTGTTTGAAATCGGTTATATTTTAAATGTTAATGTTTTACATTTTAGGATATGGATCTGCCACTAACTTATTCTACTCTACTTTCTCTCAACTTACCCAATTTCTCCTAACTTTGGCACTTGATATATTATTAATTACGCTGTACCTACTCCTATACTGACGTTAATTTATTTAAAGGTCGTGGAAGAATCGAGTAATTTCTAGTTTCAGATAAATAATGCACCGAAATTAGTACGTGTTACCCCAAAATAATAAATAGACTTTGCTTCACCTAACGCCTACTAGTCGACCACAATTCGAACCCTCGCATTTCCTCTACGCCTTTACGTTTCAATTGTCCTCCTGTAATACAAGGTAATATGCACTTTACCTCCACTGACAGAAAGTATATTTCTGCAAGTTTGCCAGACTGATTTACAACAGTTCGGAAAACCTTTCGAGGTTCCGTAATCTGCTTCGACCCAATCGCAATTAATGGGGTCCCAACAGCACTGCGAGAGTACGTCACAAAGATGTAGGATTACTAGATAACTTACAAAAAATACCACTATTATTAACCTACTAATAACAATCTGGTATGCTTTTGGCGAATATTCTATGTACTTCAGTACTTTATCGTAGTAACATTATTGACATTTCCAAACATTTTTGAACCACCATGTAAATTGAACATTATTACAATAAGCTACAAGTGTCGGTATTTATAATTTTCCTGCGAAATATTTATATTATATTTTACTGTACTTTCTTTCGGTGAACTCTGAAAAGCTGTTTTTATATTTGTTAGTTGAAGTAAAAAAAATATATTTTACGTAATTTACAAGAATTTACTAAATAAATAATGGAGATGTTAAATGTGGATTACATGTAAATAACAAATACGCTTACAAATAAAATAATGATGCTGATATTAGTTCGCTTCTTCTATAATCTTTTATTTGTCGCATAAATATATTTCAAAGAAGACGCTTCCAGTATCCTAGCTTAGCTATCTTCGCTCCTAAGCAAGGAACCTCTCCCGGAGATTTGTCGGTACAATGGCATACAATTTTCGACCATTGTGGTGACCTGAGCTACAAGGATACAAATGTTCAACTTAAATTGGGTTTTCCTAACAATATTACCGATTGACATTACTTTGTACAGAAAGGAATTGCTATAAATTTGTTTCTTTTAAGCATAATGTCATTACAGGTAATATTTTTTATGAGAATCCTTTAGGTTTTAACAGGTTTTATACACAATCTTTCTTTTTAATAGATTCTCTTCATGTAGAAATATCTATAAATATAATTGTGTGCGTCAATGATTCTTTATTCAATTTTAATAAAGAGTGGCACGAGGCAACGTTTTAAAAATAGCGGTATTTGTAACAAAACTTAAATTTTGAAATAACTTAGTGAGCATCGAGATCTAGTGCCATCCGACACTAATAAATAACTGTATGTTTTGTTTCTGACTGAATCTCCGATGATTAAAACACCAACAAGAACCCAATTTAATAACTCAATGCCATGGACTGAAATACCTACCAATTTATTGCTCTTTCTTTTTGTGACGAGATCGTTATCCGAAAAATTGGTAGATTAAAAAAAATAAGTAGGCTATTCAAAAGTACTTAAATTAAAGTTTTTTTTAAATTATTTAATTTTTATATATTTCGCTCACCACAACGTCGACAGTTGATGATACTTCTTACCACACCATCTAAGATGACAGTTGGAAGTTACCATTACTAATATTCCTATTTCAAATAGCAAAAGCTATACATTTTATATTCATAATCAATTATCAATCTTATCCTCTGCTGATTGTGCAAGCGAATCATTTGTTTACCTTAAGTTTAATTTCACAGAAACAATAACATTTTACCCATTCAGAGCTATAAATTTCGTTCGTCAGTCCGCAATTTGTACAGGTATTATTTGAAATTGGATCGTTTATTGTTTTCACTGCAATTGTTACATAGATAATAAGGAAATAGTTTAACAAATCGATGTAAAGAGTAGACTCATTTTATTTATAAGGTAAATTGATACCAGCTTTACACGGCTGACCATGGTCCTGACTACCATATCCGGAGTTATAATCGTGGAAATCAATGTGTATTCTATTATTTATGTATAGTTTACAATATCTACAATATATACAGCTTTACAAAGGTTGCAGGTTACTTATGTACATTAAAAAAACCACATTTAGTTCTAATGTTTATACTAACATAGAAGAAAACCTCAGAACTGTCGGTTTTCTGTCTTATATTATTTTGCAATAAAACGACTCCATAAAATACGCTCTGAATTTACAAAAATATCGTATAAACGCTATACAATCAAATTAAGAACATCCTTTATTTGAAATCGTTGTAGAAGCTTGCTTAGTCCAGTAATGTAACATTCATTACGAAATCGCTAACAGAGACATTAATGCACTAATTACAGCGTAGGACGTCCTACATCTACGATGCTATGGATATTGGCGATTCAGATGCGTAACTGATTGCTTATTGCTTACGATGAATCTATACGCTTGCAAATTGAGATGCTGCAACAAATACATTGCTGCATCGTCTAAATGCTAGCAGTCTCGTTATCGAGATACGGGAAACAACTAAGCGTATACCTTAATGTGACATGAATTCAGACATTTGTTTGAAAAAAGACTAAAATTTGATTTATTAATTAGAATAATAGAATAGAAAGATAAAACAGTAATGCATTATATTAGTACACTTAAATTATATATTACGTATGTCAAAGACTACCCATAATTTAAAAAAAAAATAGTTTATTGAGTAATTGTAAATACAGTGTTAAGTTTTTTTTTTAATATATAATATATCGTTGAAGACGATAATAAACACTAATCTAGAATGTGACGTTTGTTCTAAACATACAAAAGTAAACGATCAAAATGACAAAACATTTACAGCGATAGCAAACCCTTGAGGATAAGGCGCGAAGTCTATAAGAAAGTTGGTGCCACAATATAATTAACAATGAAGTTTCTTATCTTCCCCTAATTCATCCAACAGCGCCTTGACATTGTCTTTCTCTTTTGGATTTCACGGAAAAATAATTGTATTTACTGGGTAGGAGTTAGGTTACAATATAAGAAAAAAATATTACGACAAAATATCATAACCTAAATGACAGTTACATAATATAACTGTGATATCTAATAAAACTAAGTTTATGTTTTTGGTTGTCAGTACTCAGCTTGATATTGTATTACGGAAACAGGCAGGAAAAATACTCAAGGATTCTATAATTTTATTACAGGAATAGATATTGTAATGAACAAGGAAATTGTTAATATTAGTCAACGAGCACGTGCTAACCTGTGTTATAATTCCCAAAATACGAGTAGTAATTAGGGACCTGCGAGAGTGGGTACAAATAAACCCGTATTATATATATATTGCTGTAATCACACCCTGTACGGTCTTTTATAGAATGACCTGGGGACTGTAAATCTAAGTAATTTATGGTTTATCCAGAATACACAAATTCCGTACACTATCTTCATTAGTTTGACTGGCCTCCCAATGTGGTAATTTCGGATGCACCATCGCATACCCAATGCAATCGAGCCAACACTGTCACAGGGGACTAAACCCAGCTCTGTAATGTATTGCCAACGTTTGCATCGATCACGTAAATTCCTCCTACAGGTCAACGTATAGGGAATTAAATAGATAGGCTTTTCGTGATGCATTTCGAGGCGTACAATGACTACAAAATATATTTTTCTATTTAGCTGTTTTCTAATTGTTATCGATTTTTATATATTACTGAAAATTGTACTTAACATGGTAAGTAAATATAGATATTTATTTACTATGTTAAATATATAGACTATAATCGAACAGTAATATTGTTTAGTAAAATTTCATCAAGTAAATTTCACGCGATATGTAAAGTAACCTAATCGAACCATCTTAGCCTGATGTTATAAACGTTATCGTTAAATTAAATACATTAGTTGTTGATCTGAACAAGGGTCAGAAGGGTGCGAATAATTATGGCATTGTCCTTCCAAAGTTTCAGCTACCACGCATCCAATTATGTTGCTCTTCGTTTAGAATAATTTAAACTACCTATAACCGTAAAACAAGGGCATTCACCTCGCAAATATCTCCCCTTAACATTACTAAACTTGGGGGAGTCAAAATAAATTTTCGCCCTCGCCCTACGAATACGAAGTATCCCCTTACGATTCACCCCATGTTGCTATGGTGACGCTGCCTTTTCGAACTGCATTGGGTTTGAATATAAACATTCGTGTGATGCCGCCAGTGTGCAGTTTCGACTCGCTCCACCATTATTGATGTTTTCGCCATTCCACTCGGCTCCTTCCGGTGTTTTACTCGATCGTAGTAAATTCACCGAAAATATTGAGCAAAGCTTGTCTATTTATCACGTTTATGGCACGGTACTAAGGTCAGAGATTGATAGAATGTTAAACCAGTCTGTTCCTTTAAAGTGTTCATTTTTATTAACTAACTAACTGCTTTAAAAATATACTTAAAATATGCAAAAAAATATTTTTCACTTTTATGTCTGTAATAATATAATAGTAGAACATGCTACATTAGTTTGATATGAATATCACGACACATTATACACAGCTCGAAATTGTTTTTATGACCATATTACAATATTGATTGCCTACAGTTTTCTGTTACACGGAGCGCACATTATTTCAAAGTGAAAAAAATATTTTCGTGTGTCCTGTAATGTTCCATAAAGAAACTTATCTACCTTATTGAATATTAAAACTGTTTCCGATTTCCGAATCCGTATTCCGTACTACATCAGCCATAGAAATACTTAAATTAATTAAATGCGCGTTGCCTAATATACAAGCCTATATATACATATTCAAAATCTGTAGTAATAATATTGCATTAGTAATATATAAATGTAATAACTAATATTATACCTTTATATTGTTTCAGGGATGCAGGTTTCCTGAAGATGGCCTCACGCACCCCGTCCCTTGAGTCGCTGCCCGGTGCTAACTCGATAGGTTCGCTGGAGCGTGGCTCCTTATCGCCTCTGACCCTCAGCGGCTCCTCGCCTCCAGCGAGTGACTCCGCCGTATGTGACCTTCGCGAGTACGACGGACTCGACACAACCTGCGCAATTTGCCGAGAAACATTTGTTGATCCCAAGGTTCTGAATTGCTTTCACACCTTTTGCCGGGCTTGTCTGGAGAGAGAACAAACGCATCCAGAAAAAGTGACTTGCGTTACTTGCCGCGTGGACAGCCAATTACCACCAAGTGGTGTTGTTGGTTTACTCACAAATCTGGTGATTGCAGCGGCAGTCGAGCAAGAAGCTGATCTTCTGCCATCTACCCGTCAAACTAATTCGCCATCTGCTCGTTGTACCGGCTGCAAATCCAAAGAGTCAGACGCAGTAGCACGTTGTGTAGACTGTGCTAATTTCCTGTGCCCTAACTGCGTCATGGCTCATCAATTTATGCATTGTTTTGAAGGCCACCGAGTGTTGGCATTCAATGAATTAAAAGATGATAAGGGTATGTTTGGATCTGCCCTATCAATAAGTGGAGATAAAACAGCTTTCTGCCCCAAACACAAAAACGACATTCTAAAATATTTCTGTCGGACATGCTGCGTACCAATATGCAAAGAATGTACATTAATCGAACATCCTGCTGGGTTACATGACTATGAACACCTGTCTGATGCGGGACCCAAACAATTAGAACTTATGCAGCAATCTGTAACTGAAGCTAAAACCCGTGCCACTGAAATAAGGCATGTAGTCAAGACTGTTGAACATGCCGCAGGAAAACTACAAGTACAGTACCATAAGGCTCAAAATGAAATCAATGATACGTTCCAATTTTACCGATCTATGCTAGAAGAACGTAAGCAAGAATTGCTAAAGGAACTTGAAAGTGTATTTTCGACAAAACAAATCGCTCTTACAGTAGTTGGACAGAAAGCTCAGGAAACAGTTGATAAAATTTATCAAACTTGCGACTTTGTAGAGCGACTAACCAAATGCGCAAATATTGCTGATATATTAATGTTCAGAAAATTATTAGATACCAAACTACAAACATTAATGAGTTCGAATCCCGAACAAAGTGTGCAAACTGCATGCGAGTTGGAATTTGTGTCCAATTATCAAGCGATACAGGTTGGGGTACGAAACACCTTTGGTTACGTACGCTCGAGCTCAGAAGCAAATGTTGGCCCTACGAAACAACCCCCTATTGCGCGTCCCACAAATGGCTCTCTTTTGAATGGTGGGTCTTCGTCCAGCAGCAGTAGCGTTAATGGAAGTTCTGGTAGTCTAAATGGAGGAATTCATCTACCAGCTAGTCTGAATGGGGTACTGGATAGACCTTACACGAATGGCTTGCTCGGGCCTACAAGCCAATCAACATCTCCTTTCGAGTCCAACATTATTTCTAAAAGATTCAACAGTGCGACCAGTCTGGGCCCATTTTCAACGGCTATCGGTGATATAAACTTAAATGGAATAAATCCATATGAGAAATGGTCTAATGGTGGTTGCGAACCATTATTCCCACCTGCAACCACGGATCCATATTCTCTATCATCATCTGCTCACAATGATCCTATACTGGAGTTGACGAATAAGCTAATTTCAACTACTATTTTCCCTCCTAAATCGCAAATTAAGCGACAAAAGATGATTTATCATTGCAAATTTGGTGAATTTGGAGTTATGGAGGGTCAGTTCACAGAACCCAGTGGCGTCGCTGTGAACGCACAAAACGATATAATTGTAGCTGATACGAATAATCACCGTATTCAAATATTTGACAAAGAAGGTCGTTTTAAATTTCAGTTTGGAGAATGCGGCAAACGTGACGGCCAGCTCTTATATCCCAACAGAGTTGCTGTAGTGCGTACATCTGGTGATATTATAGTGACTGAAAGATCGCCTACGCACCAAATACAGATTTACAATCAATATGGCCAATTTGTACGTAAATTTGGTGCCAATATTCTTCAGCACCCTCGTGGCGTCACTGTTGACAATAAAGGACGTATTGTTGTCGTAGAATGCAAAGTTATGCGCGTGATTATTTTTGATCAAGTAGGCAATGTTCTTCAGAAATTTGGATGCTCTAAACATCTAGAATTCCCCAACGGTGTTGTGGTCAACGATAAACAGGAGATATTCATTAGCGACAACCGAGCGCATTGCGTTAAGGTTTTTAATTACGAAGGGATATATTTACGTCAAATTGGAGGAGAAGGAGTGACCAACTACCCAATTGGTGTTGGGATCAATGCTGCTGGAGAAATTTTAATTGCTGATAATCACAACAATTTCAATCTGACGATATTCACACAAGACGGTCAACTAGTGTCGGCACTAGAAAGCAAAGTGAAGCATGCCCAATGTTTCGACGTTGCGCTCATGGATGATGGCTCAGTCGTACTGGCAAGCAAAGATTACAGGTTGTACATCTATCGTTACGTGCAAGTACCTCCAATAGGTATGTGAGCCTCACGGTCTAATCACAGGAGATCGGAATGACCGAACTATAAATCAAAAATGGGCACCATAAAACGCAAGTAACTGTAATCGTAGTAATATACGACTAGCGATTCTGGCCAAAAGTGTCAATTTTTGAAAAGTTCAAGTGACTGTAACAGTGAATATGAAACGGAACTTGCTAAGTTTTTATATGTGCAAGTGTTAATGAGTGGCTGTCTCGATGTGATCTAGTTGACTAACGACGGTAATCTATCTGCATATTTTCAGGCAATGAGATCTCTGTAAGCATTATATCTAAATGAAACTGTATTGAGATTAGTTGATAGTATTGACATTGTTATTCGAGTACCTATTGAAGGATAGAGATTATTCCGTTGGATCGACCCAAACATTACGAACGGTGTTCTCGACCCTTATCATTTTTTAATCTATTGAATAATATTTTTTCATATCCCACATCGTTAAATTAGGGATGAATATTAAGAGGGCATTTGTATTATTTAGCCCATTTGTTGGACCAATATTTTAACTATTACTTAACAAATTGTTAGCGTTAAGCGAGTGATTTTATCGTAATAAGAGAGCATCGAGCGGATTGTTGTTAGTTTTAAGAGAATTCTTCGGCACAATGGCACTTCCTGTTTTTAATTCGCACTTATTCTGTGTCGATTGAAATATGATTATGAAATTAAGTAAGAAGTTGTTACATTATTATTATTAGATAAGTGTTAAATTGATTGAGCTGATATGGACAATCTTTAGTTACTACCCCTTTTTAATGTAGTTACAAAATTTTAGGGAAATGTGATGTTAGGGGTTTTATCAATGACAAAGTTGACTGCGGCGTTCCTTACGTTTTATAATAGATTTTTAGTCAATCTCACTAAAGAACTATTACCGTAGAAATCAAATTACCATAATATAACATCACAAAATGGCGAGAGATCAAAAATGTTTTATGTATCTCAGTTGACAGAACATTCAACTTGATATCGTGATTTGCAAATGGATCACGTACCGTGTTGAGTATATTATAAAGCATTTTAGATTCTATTATCAAATGCAGGCTAGAAGAGATGGTTGTAGTTTATTTTTTTTAATATGTCGGATGTCCGTTATTATATATTTTAACCGATAACATTACCGCCTAGTCACTGAGAGCCCACGGATCTTAGTTTCTTCATGTTGTTTTTAACGATTAGTAACATTTGGTTGATAATAATATTATTCGTTTTTATACAAAACTAGTATTTTGTAATTTTTTTTTATAATGAATATGGTAGTAACTAGTGGAGCACTTTAGAAAATGTTGTCTCTCTAGATTTTACAAACGATGATTTTACTGAGATTTTAGCTGATTTTAATGATTTTTACTACTTGCATTATAAGCTCACACCTTTAAAATATAATTATACAATTTGTTATACTGGTAAGATATTTTTTATATGGAAACATTTTTATTTTTGTAGTGGTAGTTAATGGTGCATGTGTATATTTAAATCTTTTTTTATTTCGTATTTTATTAATATTATGCTACAATTTTCTACTTCATTGCCGTGTGTTGTGTGCTAGCAGAATTATTTTAGTTCGATTTTCATTAGTTTTGGTTTTTAGTGAATAATGATTTTTAGTATTTTTTCGCTGAATCTATGACAATAAAAAGATCTGAAACGGCCTCTCGTTGCAGGCCTCGTTCACAGTCTTAATTTTTGATCTGCATTTGTGTACTAGGTTACGTGTTTTATTTGGTGATATTCCTTTATATTTTAATATTGAAGACACGTCGGCCAATGAACTAACTTGACACTGTGACTTTGCAATACCTGCGTTGCATGTGCCATACGATCATGTTGTGATTTAATAAGTGATATTTAGTGTTTTGTAAATATGTACCATATTCTGTTTTATTGAATTTAATCATAAGGCCTACCTGTAATGGTTTCATCTAATGAATGAGTCATTAGTGCAAGTCAGACCTCATGGTACAATGATGATTAAGGAGTAATGAATTTACGAATTTAATACCGTCGAGGAAGCACCTTATAAATTGTGTTTCTTGCACATACTTGCACTGTTACATTTTGGGAATGGACGTTTCTTGATTGTTTCACCTCTGTATCTTGCAAATCACAGTGTGTTCAGTGAACACATAGCTAGACGTGTCTTTGATCGAATAGTTAAATATTAATTAAACATGCTTCCCACTAGATTAGGTGTATTACAATTTAGCATGAAATCTTAGAGTCCAAATTTCAGTGATTTGTCACCAATGATTTTATATATAGACTGGTCTCTGTTCCTAATAAATTTAAACATTCCTAAGATTATATCTATGACTGTATTACGCTTAATCTACTGGTTACTGAACTTAATTAAAATTAACATGTAATAGACAATCTGTTGCCGAAGACAAATCTACTTTACCTCAGTTTATTCTGCCGAATTGGTCACATTTTTAATGCATGACATTTAGTTATTATATTTTATCGTATATATAAAATTATTATGTTCATGAATTTATATGTATCTTTAATGTATATTACTTTTAATAATTCGCCTTAACAAACTGAGGTTACGCTAGTATTGGATATACATTCTACTTAGATATAAATTCTTCGTGTTTTATTCTGAAAATTGTAATGTAAACACCAAAAACTAGTATATTAAACGATTTGGTGGGCTATATTACTGTTTTGGAATAAATCGTTTTGGTAACAATATACGCTTCTACTTAATTGATCATTAAACGTATTATATTTAAATTAAGTAGGTATAACATAGTGATTCATTAAGGTTTGAAAATTATGACACCTATGTTGTAATGCCCCGAAGCCCTAAGCTCGCTCATACTCTTTCGAGTAATTCTTTTTAAGTTGCGGCGAGATTCCACTTGATAAAAATCCATTAACAAGTTCCACACATTTTTATCACGAAAATGCATGCTCTATCACGCCATTGTAAGTTGTTGATGGATTTCCATTGAGTCGGACACACGCTTAGTTATTTTTTATTTAACCTGAGTTCTGAGGTTATTTTAGGTTCCATTTTAATGATTTATTATTATTATTATTATTATTATTATTTTACAAAAACTTTCTGTGTTTTGCATAATATGTACCTAATCGAATGATTTTCGTATATGAAAACATTTCATTCTTAAATTTGCATTTCTGAAGCTTAAGGACTGAGTAAAATTGAAACATGTTTTGTCTTTAAATATATTTTGTCGATGTTTGTTGTTATAATTATTATATTTTTTTAATTATTTGTATAAACAATTGTTCTTTAAATTAATGTACATCGTTTTGTTTTGAATTATTTTTGTTGTATAATTGCTTTTTTATAATAATACCAGTTCATTGCAGTTTTACTGTGTGTTTTATTTTTTATTTTTTGCCCGAGTAGCGCTTCCGTAGTTTTCCTGAAAATGGTCATAGCTATTTTTTTATAGAAAAATATTTATGACTATTTATTACAAAAAAAAACCTTTATGACGCATGTTTGTGCTAATGAGTCTTTTTCAGTTAGTTATCTTTCACATTATATTATTTATGTACTCAATCAGAATATTAACGACATGCTATCCCCATCAAATAAATGAGTTTTAAATAAAAGAGAGAGAAGAAATAAGAATGTATTTTTCAAACATGTATTTTGCTCTTTGCTTTTCTCTATAATATTTTATACACAATGCATATATTTTTTAAGTCACAGAACTAATTTTAATAATATTTAAGAGGTATATCAATTATTAATTAATTGATTCTTTGGCACAAACATCCATAATTAGATATGGTCCAAAGTGTGTTTTTTGTGTGTGTGCATTTTCGATAAGAGTAACTTCGAAACAGTTGGTGTTGGGGAACAATGTTGGCATGAGAATCGTAAGTATTTATTGCTTTAGTGTTAAGAGGATATTTCTTTAGATTAACTCCAAACTACTTGCAACAATCGATATCAGATTGAGTAAGACTAAATAGTTTTTTTTTTTAGTTTTTCATATGATAAGCAGCCAAATGACAAATAATGGTTGTAGAAACTCATAATTCTAGAAGTAACTACATACTAATATATAATGAGATGTTATATTTACTATTTAAATTTTCTTATGATGAAACTATCCGACAATATTTTCACAACCTCCAAAATGTTTACAAATTTTAAGTCCAAACGCACATAATATAAGATACCGATAAATATTATCAGTTTGAATGTGTGGTTGTAAACAAAATATGTTCAAATAGTGCATTCTGAAAACTATTAAATAACAACGAGCACTTTTTTCTGTCTTAATTATCCGACATTTAAGTATATGTCTAAGTTAACACTCCGGTAAACAAGAAAAAACAATGGACAACGCATCGTATCGTGCCGTGCTATTATGATATTACTATTAACAATAATTATTTCAATTTGATTTCGATTGTTGTCGAACTTAAAGACGAAGTAGTAATTATATTAAAAGAATTACTTTAAAATAGCTGTTATGATTTATTTTCCATAAACTACAGGGAATATTTTATTGAAAAAGTAGCTGTGACCGCCATTTTATTTTACTATTATTACAAACCATTAATTACCTAATTAATAAGAAATCATTAAATGATAACATTCAAAATTGTAAATAGAACATACACATTACAATTTTATTTACAGATCCATGTAACATTTTTTATATACTTTCTCTCATTAAAAGAATTCAATTGCGATTTCTGAAATAGGACAGTAAACACTATAATTAAACTTTAATTAGATTTAGACATCATAAAACAATTAATTATTCCCAATACGTCTGCCAAACTTTACAGTGGCTTTTACTCGTAAATCAATCGGCTCTTCAAAAGTAATCTTAACAGCAAACTATACAGAGTTAATCCAATGTAAAATATATTTTAGCGTAATATTTTACTAGTTAAATCTTATCACGTGCAGCTTCTCAGTGATTTAGGTGGTAACCATTATTTTTAATTTCAATGATTCTATACTTACTATAAAATATCTTATTAAAAATACATATTCTTATGAATGTAGGCTATAAATCTTCGTATTAAGGAACTATTTGTACGTCTCTAACTTAAGTAAACTTATATCCCAAATAAGCTTTACTTTTCTACTAAAATGTAGCTGATAATACCCATTTAAGGATTCTTTGGATACATTACCCTTCTCTCCAGCAGCAGCACTGCTTTAAAGATATTAAAAGAATTGCTAACCAAAAAACCACTATTTCCAAGTCAATTACTATAGGGAACATTTTACTACTTACTGTAGCACCTACTAGTATCGTAAGCAAAACCTAGGCTTACAAAAATCGTTTATAATTTTATACTCAGCAATTTTCTTAAGGTAATTAAGATTTTCAACACACCTGTCACATTACTTCGATTTCGTAATTCACGAAATAGTCATCACTAATTATAAAACCAGCCTAAGGTCACATATTTTTAGATCCCTAACATTAATGTAATTATACTCCAGAACTTTCTTCCACTGCTGCTGTCCTTTCCTTGATATACCAAATAGGAGCATTTAATATTTTCTCTTTAATACCCCAATCCCCTTAAATTGATTGTAAGACATGTAGTCTTGGTTGATCATTGATGAAATTTCAAGCTTTTTACCCAATCCCATCAAATACCAAATAAACAGTATTTCCGGATTTAGTTTCGATTCAGTAATTATCAGGAAGTGTGTAGGAAATTAATGTAAATAAATTAGATTAAAGATGTTGGTAGTATTATTATCTAGATATAAGGAATGCCGGGATTCGAACAAGTTGGAAACGATGCAGTAGCCGAACGATGAATGTAGCGTGAAAGAGTGTGTATTTTTGTAATGAAATTATGAGTCAACGATAGGTACTATTTGTAAGATGTTATTTAGAATTGAAACTACGTTGTTAGAAAAGAGATTTGCGTACATTTAAGCATGGATAGGAATTGTTGTTTAAGCAAAATTTGAATGGAATGATATCCGAATTCGTCAGGATTAGATTTGAATTATAAGGGTTTACAGTAACCATATCGATAGCTGTATGTCTACGTTTAACATTGTTTGAAATCAGTAATTTTGTGACAGTTAATAAATTCACCTGTTAATGTATTCATCATGGTAGTAAATATTGTATCAATGTTAGCTTGTCAGATTGTATGTGGTTAACGGTTTGGTCACTTATTATTACGTAGTAGAGCGTCGTTGAATTTTATAGATCTTACGTTAACGATACGTTGAGTCGTGCGGAGTTTGTACATATAATTGTCGCTTAGTTTTACATTCGTTTCACTGTCACCATTAACAATATTTGCGAAGGCAAACTCACGTACGCATACGTTTGCTCAGGAATTGTATTAATTTTCACATTCTATTGTCATATTTCGATAATCATTATCTTTTATATCATCGCTTGTATAAAATATTATTATTAAAAGCGGCGATGTTATGTCATTGTTGAATTTGATTCGCTAATTGAGTAATTTAGTGAATTGCACAGAATGTTGGTATTTCACTTAATTTTTGATGTATTTTTTCAAGAAAGAAATGTATTCAATAATTTTTAATGTATCAATAAATTATATTGGTTCGGAAACTGAATGAGTACTGACACTCGTTAATTTCGTTATAGATAGAATCAGTTGTGATTTCATCAGTTCATGAAAACTGCATGTACTTTCTTATAAGAGATTACAGTGATTCTTGTCTATATACGATTTCTCAAAAATTGTGATTATTGTATGTTTAGGAGAAAGTAACAAAGCACATATGAGCACAAACCATCCCTCCTCAAAGAATACTACGCTGATGTTTAAATTTAACTCACGTTTAAATTTATGATACATTTTATTGTAAAAAAAATATTGTACTATCGCTTATGTTAGTTAACGTTTGCAAATAATAGTATTTATTTTCACAATTATAATACTCTTTTGGAAGGATATGTTTTGAGGTTATTAAGGAGTTTTATATGATATGGATTTTACGAAGATACTGATTGTATGTATATATTACCTTCTTGCTATATTCTATGCGTTTCTTTTTTCTTCCGTAGAAACCATAGTAATTGATGTTGCTGTCAGTATTTAGTTAATATTGACTGAGTGTCAAAGATAATTTCTATTTCTGTGAGAATAATAGAGGCACTGACATCGCCTTCACGACCTACAAATGAGTCAATAAAAGAGATGATCCAATAAATAAGATTCTCACGTTTTATGTTTAATTTCATAAAGTGTGTTAGGTAATTTATTATAATTCTAAGGTGTGATTTTTAGTTTTAATTACAATGATTTTTACACAAGGAAAGATTCCAAATGAAGCTGTATAGAATGATTACAATGGTAGCTAATGACATATCAAGTAAGGTTTATTATTAAAGAAGTGTTGGAGTTGAGGCGGAAACGGTTAGTGACGTGTACACGATGAAAAGTACGTGTAATTTGTTTGATCTATCTGACAATACTAATACAGTTTTCAAATATTCTGATGTTAAACTAATAAAATATTTAATAGTGAATTTGTTTCATACGTTGAAACGGAACATATCGTCCACTTAGTGGAAGCATTTGGAAGTAGACAAAATTAATAGACCAAATTCAAATATTCATGTTGATTAGGATATGTATGGTGTTTACGTTTTTCGTCGATGGAATGTGAAGGGATAATTTGGAATCTTTCTAAATGAAGCTAGTCGCCAAAGAAATTGCTTTTAGATAATTAACTGTTATCGTAATATGTGTATGCACGTAAGTTTAACCTAAATTAGTTATACGATGCTTAAATTGTCCACACATAAATCGATTTTACACATTTAATGCCATCCTGCCAGATATAAGAAGAACACAATGCTTATGATGAACTAAATTTAAATTATATCCTACTTAGCATACGGAGTAGTATGTATTTTTAGATATTGCATTGTCTATGTTAGTCTAGTGGTTAAGACACACCTTGAGCTTTGAACAGTGTGAATCTGTCACCAATATTTTTTACATACGAATGTAGTAGTGATGTTAATTATAAATCAATTTCAAGCCGT